CGTTTCCAAAAAGGGTATAATTTTAGCAGAGAGCAGGCATTTGTATTAGTTCCTGATCAGAGAATTTGTTGAAGTAGAAGTCAGATAATCCCCAAAGAAGGAGGGGATGAAGCAGGAGAAGTTAATATATGCTAAATATCCAACATTATCCTAGATGGAGAAACCATCAAAAGTATAGCCCAGCGTATTGTTCGAGATAATCTTAGTGAAAAAGAAGTAAAGGCGATAGCTAAGGTTTTAACTATAATATCTCCTAATTAAAGCTCTGAATGGTTCAGATTAATCCGAAGATTTTTTAGATCAGTTTGATTCAGATCGGTTTCAGATTGCATAAAAATCGATCTGAAAATTTTTGATTCAGTTCAGATTTTTTTCAGATTATAATTCTAATCCGAACTGAAAAAAATCTGAACTGAACTGATAATTTTGGATTAATCCAAAAGTTCTGTTCGATTATGCGAAACTCTTAGAGAATCGCAATTTTTTGCAGTTTCTCTTTGAATTTCACAAAAACCTTGGAGAATCGCAATTTTTTGCGATTTCTCTTAGAATTTCGCAAAATTATCACGAAACTCTTGGAGAGTTGCAAAAAATTGCGATTTCTCTTCGAATTTCATGAACTTCGAAAAGAAATTCGCGATTTTTTGTGATTCTCTTAGAGTTTCACATATAAATTGCGGATTTCTTATATAATCGAACTGTAATTTCAGATTAATCTGAAAATTCCAGTTCAGTTCGAATTTTTACCAGTCTGCAGTTCAGTTCAGATTCGGATTGGCATTTTTAAGATTAATAATCTGAACTGAACTGAACCGAAATTTTCAGTTCAGATACAGATTGGCATCTAATTTGGACCGAACTGAACTGTTCGAAGCTTTACCCCTAATCCTATCGTCACTACATCCTATCTTAGTAGACTCTAAAAAGAGTTGTGGAAATGCAATGCCCCAAAAAAGATAATCTTTGCTACATTAGACGAAAAAATAACTTACGTATCTAATAAGATTCAAAAGGAGCGTAGGGATCAACGTGAAAATGAAGGGATTGATTTTTCAGATCACTTCTTGTTAGAATCGGTTAAGGAAAGACTTGATTACTATGATGTGTCTAACACACCTGATGTGCAAGCCCTAGCCGATGTAATAATAATGCTCTACGTCCGTTCTGCCAAAATTAAAGACTTGCGCACATCTAATAGTGGTGTAATTGGATACGCAAAAAACTGAGACCAATAGGATAATCCTCAGATATTTAGATCATTAGAAAGAGATGAAGAGCAGGCTAAACTTCTTCTTACTTGGATTCAGGATGCTATTTCTACTGGACAGTTGAGGGATCCAGAAGTGCCAGGAGTTAAATGGTTTAATATATTTCTAAAAAAAATAGATTTCTTCCTGAAACTGGTAAACCACTTCTTCCTAGCTATTTGCACAAATTAGGGGCAGTATTTGCAGTCGTATTGAATAGTGCAAAGAATTTATTAGATGCTATGACTATCGCCAGTCAAGTCCTTCAACATTCGCCAGATAACCATACCTCTTCAGCGTAAAACTATACTATAGTCAATTTTTGAAAAAGAGGACAGCCTTATGATCAGGCAACAGCATTCGAGCTTTACGATGAAAACTAATCACATAGATGAGTTAGACAATATTTATTAAATTTTATTTTTTCATTAGCCTAAGATCTAGTATATAAAATATATCACAAAAATGATAACTGATCAAAGGCATTCATCTGATAGTATAGCTAGTGAGCAGGAAGTTATCAGATACACGAAGAAATTAGTCCAGATATTCAGACTAAATAAGCAAAATGCAGAAATATATAGTGCGCTTTTCAGTGAAAATAGGGTTGAAAGGCGTTGTGTATAAGGGTTCCTCCTATTTGTCTGAGTCTTCTGAAGAATCTGATTCGGTCAAAACAATTGTGATAGAAGAAAATGAGGCTATCCCTCATAAGCAACGAAGGAAGGCACGACCAAAAAAGGTTAAACGGTTGATAGTTTAAAATAGGTCGAGCCAGAAGGTTCAAAGAATTAGGCGTTGAATAGAGATTTATTTTTGAATATTATATACGCCATAATAAAATGGTATTCGTGAATTGTGTAATCGAAGAAAATAGTCCACCTAGGCATCAATTAATATATGCGCCAATGTAAATTGCATTAGCCAAAAACATATTGGTGAATTAAGAATTGCATATCATGATGAAAATAATAGCATTAAAACTCTGGATACAACCTATTCCACAATAGGAAAGGTTAATCTGCATATCGGCTTTAATGATGGTAAGAAATATAAAAGCACACCCAGTGAATTCATAGTTGTTAGACCAGATTAGCCTGATTATTTCCTGACTTAGTATTGAGAGGGTCATGATTTCGAGAAAATGGTGCAACTTTAGATATATGCGATTCAAAACTATTATTAGATAATAATTTTGCGATTCTATTTAAAGAAGTAAAAAATGAACCTAATATAGAATAATGATTATTCGAAGCAGTGATCATCAATATGCGTAATTTTGCAAAGCGCCTTAACGGCTATTTTTTTTGTTAAAGATACAGCATATATTATTTATGACGCATTTGGGTGTTATAAATTTATCAGAACTATTAGAGCGGATTCTATATTTCCTAGTAGTAGATAAAGTACTGTATCCTGCCCTATTTGTTTGCTGGCTTTGGTACAGATGCAGTGCTCCTATTTTATGGAAATACATCGAGCTAAAGTGGAAAAATAAATTTCACTCTCAATTGAAAAAATTTATGAAAATAGTACGAAAAAAACAAAAGCCAGTTTATAGCTCAAATCTAACTCATCTAGAAATTTCAAACTACCATCCACTTTCAGATAAAAAATTCAATGGTATTGCGCATTTATTTCCAAATATAGTCCATTTAGATTTAAATTTTAGCACAGGATTTAGCGATAAAATACTAAATCAAGTAGCAGAGACATACCCCAATCTGAAGTATCTCAATTTGCAAAAGAGTAGGTACGAATGCTCTAATGGTAGAAAAGTGACTGATAAAGGTCTATATGCAATTGCACGGTCATGTCATAAACTAGAATATCTAAATATTTCTTGTTACACAAAGATTATTGGGATATCGATTTGTGATATTATCCATTCTTGTCTAAGACTTCAACATCTTGAATTTAGCTATTGCAAATTTACTAATGAGATTATCAAAAAAATTGCTGGTTCGTGTCTTAATTTAAAGTATCTCAAATTGGAAGGTGTGATGTTAGCAAAGAAGCGCTCATTTCACTTAATCTAAATTTTTATGTTGAGAATTTCGTGTGTACTATAACCCCACCCTCTCTTTTTGAATATCCCAAGATGTATGTAGTATCAAGGAGATTGAGAATGTCAGTTGATGCACCAAGAGATATTAAGTCCATACATGATTATGTTAACGATGAACTAATGAGGAATAGACATTGTTAAAACAAGCATTAGGATTTCGCAAACAATCTGATCTGGAGGAATTTTTCTGATCACATCCATTGCATTCATAGTTCTTGGACTGGATTGGCCTGATTATTATCCTAACTTAGTATTAGGAATGCTATAGTTTCAAAAAAATAGTGCAACTTTGGATATATGCAATTCAAAACTATTATTAGAATGATAATTTTGTGATCCCATTCAAAGAAATAAAATGAGAATAACAATCCGGAATAAGCTGAAGATGCTTTGCATAATAGTGTAATTTTATTTTTTGTTTAAAGATACAGCATATATTTTTTATGACGCAATCAAGCATCTTTTATTTACCAGAACTATTAGAATATATTTTACATTTTTAGCGATAGATAAATTCCTCTATCACACTCTATTTGTTTCCTGATTGTGGTACAGATGCGATGCATCTATTCTGTGAAAGCATATCGAATTGAGAGGAAAAGACTTATATCCTGAACAATCTCTTCCAAATGATTATAAAAATTACTGTGCAAAGGATCACCCTTGATTAAATAAATTCATAAGGATAGAACGTGCAAAGGATCTCTCTTGATTGAAAAAATTCATAAAGTTGATACGTAGGAAGCAAACGCCAGTTTATTGCTCAAATGTAACTCATCTCGAAATATCATACTACCATTCACTTTCAGATAAAAAAATCATAAGCATTGTACATTCATACCCAAATATAACTTACTTGGGTTTCATAAATAGTATAGTATTTAGTAATAGAGCATTAGAACTGATAGCGAGTTCATACCCGAATCTGAAGTATCTTAATCTATGCATTGATCGACCAGGTGGCTTTAGGAGCTTTCGTACTTGAGAAGTAGATGGCAGTGGTCTATAGAGAATCGCGAAATCATGCCATAGATTAGAATATCTAAATATCTCTAATCGCAGAGAATATTCTGAAATATCAATTTGTAATGTTATTCGTTCTTATCCAAGGCTCCAGCAACTCGACCTTAGCTTTTATCAAATTACCGATATAACTATTAAAGAAATTGCTGTTTCATATCTTAATTTAAAGTATCTCAATTTGGAAGGATGTTATAATATTAGCAAAGAAGCCATAGATCAGCTCGTTTCACTTAATCCAAATATCCATGTTGAGAATTTTGTGCCGATTCAGATACCTTTCCTAGATGTGATCCGTGAACTCGTAAGAAGTCTGGGAATACCACATGATGTACCAAGAGATGTTGCATCCTTAGATAATTTATCATCGATGACTTATCAAGGAGATTGAGTGAACACTGTATTCTAGCTAAAACATCAATCTAGAGTGGTGGTCGGTTATATAACACCCAGCATAGTGTTGATAATAATCAGAATTCGGTCATATCTCAGATACACTGGTAACCTAACAGACAATCGCTAAGGATTAATTTCAGTAGAATACTAACCAATCAAGTAGAATGGTGGTACTCTACCGATCTAACTAATCTGAAACAGTGATCATCAGCTCAGATGATTTTTTGTTGGATTATAGTCTGTGTGATAAAAAATATAGATTAGCTAACCTATTCTAGACATGGGCACTGTCTGGTGTTAGTTGAATTTTTTACAAAAATTTCGTGTAATTGTTGAGAAGAGAGATTTGGAAATAGTGGATACCCCTCTTCAGTAAACCGAATTTTATTTACCCCCATTTCACCATATTTCTGTAAAATCACAATTGAAACATCTTCTAATGAACTGTGAAATTCCTCAAACTTTTGGAGATATGCTCTTGCTTTTTCATTGACTTCTTCTGCCCTTTCTTGATTAGAATAACTAATAATACTGAGTTCATCCTGAATTGTTATTATATCCTCTTCCAGGTATAAAAGCAAATTATATATTTCTCTATATGAAATATCTGTAGAAGCTTTATTGCTTTGGAGTGCCTCTTTTAGAATAAGATTACCTTCAATGCTAAAATCATCCTGTATTGGTATTATATCTTCTACCAAATTTAACAATAACTTATATGAATCGGCAAGTGTTTTTTGCCTTCTAGCTTCAATGTTTGTCATTTGATTTGCATTATCACTAATACCGAATTTTTTCTGAATAGCTATTATATTCTTCTTCTTATATAATAACACTTCATATAATTGATTAAGTGTTTCGGGATCATTTGCCATGATTGCTACAATAAAGTAATATATTTAATAAGGAAATCTTGTGTCCGGAATATTGATCATCAACCAGAGCGATGATCTTTAGCTCGGAAGAATTTGCTGAGCCATGCACAGCGCTTTGTTCGAAGAACGCCTCTAACCTGGCTAGATTGTGTGACAAAAATAGGCTGATCACATAATAAGTCTGTATGACATTTTTGCATATTAATTTCGCGTATATATATGCTAATGTTACACCTAAAATTGATGTGCAAAAATGATCTACAAGGCTAGAAGGATGATCAAATTTCGTGTCATATTAAAAATGATTTGCAGTACTGTAACTAAATTAGATAATTAAATGATTTACA